GGGACTGTCAGGAGCCCCGCGAAAACCCCTGCGACTGTCATCGGGAGCCGCCCCCCGAAACCCCAGACATCAACCAGCTGCCGCCATCCATCCTGCTCAAGGTGGGTCTGGGCGAAGGGCGCGGGGATGCGCGCTCGCCCCCAACCCGGCCCCTCCTCGGGGTTCTCTCTCTCCTCCCTCTCAGCGCTGAGGAGGGGGTTCCCGACAGCCAGAGGCGCCCAGGGGGGAGGTTGGGAAACCGATGGGGAGGATGCTTATGGCTTACTTTTTGAAGTTAGAAAAACTTGGAATCTCCTGAAGGCCTTTTAATAGCTCGGGCTTGTGAGGCACAATCCAGGGTTCATCTGTTATTAGATCGCCAGCCCAAGTGGTTTAGAAACTCTTTGTAAGTTTTCTGTGACATGTTTTTTATTAATTGAGCAACTTGCCCTTACTGGGTACAGACTTTATATATTAGAATTCGAAAGTTTTCGAGCTACTTTCAGGTTTGACATGCTCGTTGATGTCAGTGACAGTTAACTTGTTTTGAACATGTACTATGAGCAGGCACTATGCCAGAGCTGTATACACATAGTATCTAATTTAATCCTCCAGTTACCGCTGTGAGGCAGATTTTGTTAATATCATAACTGTATACAAGAAGGAACTGATTTTTCATACTATGTGCCTACAGTCCAAAGGCAGACGTCCACAAGTGGTATTTGCTCTAGGGAGCTTACAGCCTAGTGGGGCTTGCGGAGCTTGAATGACTTGTCCAGGGTCACACGCAGAGTAAGAGGCGTACCCGGGAATTTAGGCCTACTTGACTGGAAAACCCTCTTGTTTATGCTATGCTGTGGTAGCTTCCTACATTTTAACGTAAAAGCATACAGGTTTCTGGAGAGTAAGGGGAGACATTTTTTTGTTGTTGTTGGGGAATGGGTGAGTGGAAAAGAGGTGGGCGTCCTGTGGGAGCTTTGTCTCACTTCCAATTACTAAGTAAAATTTGCAATTTTGTCATTGCTGTGATAAACGTAATTATGTGGTAGAATTTGTATTATTATTATTAACAAGTTATTTCTTCCCTCATTTTCTCCCTTCTCCCCTCCCACCCTTTTCTGGAGCTTAATATATGTAATCTTTGTTTTTCACAGTGGATGATACTTACGACCAGCCCCAAATAACTTAGATAAAAATTTGGCTACTTTTATTGTTACTGAAGTAACTGTCATCAATTACAATTGTTACTGTCACAGATATACTTTGTGTGATTAGACTTTTTGCACATTGATAATCCTGTGTTTTTATCTATTTTTGTTTTGATGTTATTCTTGAAAATTATACAGCAAGCCCCCCCCCCCCCCCCAAGCTTAACTTCTACTTGTGTCAAAATGTAATGACTTAACTCTTATGGAGGTCTATTTGTTGGAGGAGTAATTGCCTCCTTTGTGTGTTCAGGATGTGCATTTTAGAGCAGAGGGAACTTTTTTGTTTGTTTATGGAGTTAGACATTTTTTTTTAATCTGGAATTTTTTTCTTTATTAAGATATTACGTAGGTGTCCTTATCTCCCCATTTCCCCCCACCCCCCTACTCATGCCCTCACTCCCCTGGTGTCTATGTCTCATGGTTATGCTTATATGCGTGCATACAAGTCCTTTGGTTGATCACTCCCCCTTACCCCACCTTCCCTCTGAGGTTTGACGGTCTGATCAATACTTCTCTGTCTCTGGATCTGTTTTTGTTCATCAGTTTATGTTGTTCATTATATTCCACAAATGAGTGAGATCATGTGATATTTTTTCTGGTTTCTTGGGATATATTCCTAGAAGTGGAATCACTGGGTCAAGTAGGAGTTGCATTTTTAGTTTTTTGAGGAAACTCCATACTGTTCTCCACAGTGGCTGCACCAGTCTGCATTCCCACCAGCAGTGCACAAGGGTTCAAGTTCCTTTTTCTCCACATCCTCACACTTTTTATTTGTTGATTTGTTGATGATAGCCATTCTGACAGGTGTGAGATGGTACCTCACTGTTGTTTTGATTTGCATCATTCGGATGATTAGTGTCTTTGAGCATGTTTTCATATGTCTCTTGGCCTTCCTTATGTCCTCTTTTGGAAAGTATCTATTTAGGTCCGTTACCCATTTTTTTTTATTGGGTTATCTTTCTTTTGTCGAGTTGTATGATTAGAGGGAACTTTCTTGATTCCTTTAAATTGGTGGATGACATAGACAAATAAAATATCAACAAATATTTGGTATGGAAGATTGATTGCTGTCTTGTTATTTGGCAGGTAAGACTGTTTAAAGACAAACCAAGTAAAAAACCAGGTATTTCCTGCTTTCTACCAAAACTGGTTATTTCATGAGGTAGGGAACATTTTAATACAAAAAGAAAGAAGAAAGGACATGATTTCATAATAAAGAGAATCCCCATAGGTAAACTTATTCTATATGCTACATTGTTCTTTTTCACGTGTTTTTTTTTTTTTTTTTCCTGTGGACTATTGAAAACTTGGTCTAAGGGACTTTTGGGACTTACTCCTTAGACTTGCCCTGTTGTGATGGAGAATTTGGACATGATATGGAGATGTTTTACCTATATTAGAAACTGGAATAAAGATTGTCTACGTGGGTTTTATGGTCCTAGTTGTATTCAGCAACAAGTGAGTGGTACTGTCTGGAATGAATCGAAATCAAGGTTTTTCTGTGTTTACCAGCCCAAATAGAATTTTCAGGGATAAGGCTTTTGGGGGCATAGGCTCTGTTGACATAGATTTTGTTTATTGCTGTGTGCCCTCCCCTAAGTGCAGTGTCTGGCATTTAGTAGCACTCAGTAAATATTTATGAACAAATGAATGACCAAATGTTTAGAAGTCTGGGCTGACACTGGGTGAATATGCCATACCACAAAGATAAGTGTCTAAGAAATGTTTATATCTTGACTTCAGAGTTGTTCTGAGCTACAACAGAACCATGTGATGTTGAGAGATTTCTGGCTCTGTTTCTGGTGAGAACTGGAAGTGTTTGGCTTGGAGAAGAGAAGACTTAGGCAGCTATGTCTTTCCCTCCCTCCCTTTCTTCCTTCCTTCTTTCCTTTTTACGGTATAGGAAGGGTTGTTGCATAGAGAGGCACAAATCCATCATCTCCATTGGAAACATTCAAGTACAATAGCCGTTAGCCACATGTGGGTATTTAAATTTAAAGTGGTTAAAATTAAATAAAATTGAAAATTCAGTTTCTAGGTTACAGTAGCCACATCAGTAGTCATGGGTGACTGGCCACTATTGTGTGGACTGTGCAGATCCAGAACATTCCCCTCATTTTAGAAAGTCCTGGGTAAACCTTCATAGTTTTTTTTTTTCCCCTTTATAAATGGCATCAAAATGTTCATGTTCTGTAGTTTGTTTGTTTATAGTTTGGTTTGGAGGTCTTTTCACATTAGTGAGGATATGGTTTCCTTCATTCTTTTTAACTGCTGCATAGTATCCCATAGTGTTACACCACATGTATTTATTTCTCTAGTACTGGATGTTTCTAATTAATTGATACTACAAATGATGCTAATAGATTTTTTTTTCTATGTACATGTGGTCATATTTTTCTAGGGTAGATGTCAAGGAGTGGAATTTCAGGTTTGAAGAATGTCTGTATTTGGAAATTTAGAAAGTCCTTTCTAACAATAAGAGCTGTGTAGAAATGAAATTAGTTCTTTCTTGAAATCGTGAGCCTCACTGGAAGCCATAATTATGTAACTTCAGAACAGGAAGAGACCTTTGACAGCATCTGGTCTTTCCTCATGTCTCATGCATGAAGATACAGGCTGGAGAAGTCAAGTGGCTTACTTACCCCAAGACATTTCAGAGAGTGAACGGCAGACCTTGAGCTGGCACCCAGCTTAGTGTTTCCAGCTCCAGAGATCTTTTCAACATCCTGTGTGGGAAGGCCTGAATAATCTCTCAGAAATTTTATGAAAGAGATTCCTGAATGGGGAGAAGGGGCAGGGCAGTGGGGAAAGGAGTAGCTTACACCAGAGGACTGACTTCTAAGTCATCATGAGTCAGAGACTAATTTAAAATTGGGTCTGTAGGGTTGAATTGTGGTCTTTAATATAAGAATTTGAGAAGCAGGAACTAGGTCTTCAGAGGTCAACTGTGAGAGTAGTATTTTGTTTTAAGCACTTAAGTCTGTTACATTTGCTCATTGAGTGGTTAATGGATTGTTTTGGATCAAATGAGCTAGCTTCGATCTTTGCTACCTGTTGCCTTTATAATTTAAGTAATCCTGCCTACTAATACCACAATTAGATATTTATATGGTAGAACCATTATGCAACAATTTTACCAAATGATAGCAGTGGAATATATTTCTTTATAATTACTATTTGAGTAACTGGTTATGTTGTGGTCTATATTTACATTTGGAGACTTTGTGTGCTGTGCTTAGATATCTTGTTCTCTGCCAGCAGACCTGTTTCTTTCCAAAGAACACCAGGTGAGAGATCCAAAATCCACCAGCACCATTAGGAAGTTGCCTCACCATGCATGCACCCTTGATAATGTGTCAGTAGGTGCTAAGTCTTTTATTTTTACAGCTTTCTTACCACCAGGTTGCTTCAGTGTTTAAGGAAAAGTTTCATAAAAGAAATGGGCTTTGGAAGAAAGCTTACATATCTGATCTGTTTCCCTCCCCCCTCCCCCCCCAGGTATGCTAACAAGGATGAAAGCAATGTAAATAGGAGTCAAAGAAAAAAAAATACTACTTTTTAAACTTTGAATGTACATTACTAGTGGGTAACAGTAAATTACCTGTAGCATTTCCTGAATGCTTGATTTAAGGCTCCAGTACCAAATAACCTCTAGTCTAGAAGGTATGTCTCTGGCGTTCTAGGAATGGTTTTAGTCAGCACTGAAATGGAGTGTCCTGAGGAAGTCAGGTTTAAGATTTTTCTTTGCTGAAGAATGCAAAGCAATCTTGATGAACTTAATCAGGCTACCAAAAGGTGTGATTTGTTTTCATTTTAAGAAGTCTGTAAATTTTGCCTTATACTGAGTAGCTATCAAGGACCTTGAGTAGTTCTTTGCCAATTTGGAGTATCAGGTTGTATAAATGATAAGGAAT